GGGCCTCTGCAACTTCACCGGCTGTGACAGCTACTGAAAGTGAAACTCAGCAACTTCTGCAGCTGTCACAGATAAGGAGCGCATCTTCTGCTAATGTCGCAGTTAGGGAGCCTAGAAGCTGCTACTGCCCAGCCCGGATGGAGCAAGCGAAGTTGGTAGTTGGTAGTAGTAGTAGTAGTAGTAGTAGCAGCAGCAGCAGCAGTAGCGGTAGTGGCAGCAGCACCAGCAGCAGCAGTAGTAGTAGTCGTCGTCGTCGTCGTAGTAGTGGTAGTGGTAGTAGTAATAGTAGTAGTACAGCAGTAGCAGTACCAGGACGAGTAGCAGGAGCAGTAGCACTAGTAGCACTAGTACCAGTAGTAGCAGTAGTCGAAGTAGCAGTGGTCGTCGTCGTAGTAATAGAGGTAGTAGTAGCAGTAGCAGTAGCAGTAGCCGCAGCCGTAGCCGTAGCAGTAGCAGCAGTAGCAGTAGCAGTAGCAGTGGCAGTGGCAGTGGCAGTAGCAGTAGGAGTAGTACTAGTAGTAGTAGGAGTAGTTTTGTCACCTACCTGGCACGTCGTCGACAGCACTGCAGGGTAGTAGGAGTAATAGTAGTAGTAGTTGTTGTTGTTGTGCTCGTACTAGGAGTACTGGTAATAGTACGAGTGCTGATACTGGGCCAGTTTTGTACCTGGAGACTCCGTGGCGGCACGATCACTTCATCGATTCGCTCCTGACCGTGCGAAACGAAGATGCCACGGCCGCTCGGCTCTGAAGCCTCACCAACTCCCCAGAGATCCCTCCCAGGTGTCAAGACAAGACCTTGTCAGGTTTTGGTGAAGCGGGACAGACATGATCACTTCGCAAGGCGGCCCTGCCGGCTTCTGGCCTCGAACAGCAGTCCCTCCTTGCGCAGCTTCTCACTCCAGGCAGCTGGCATGCCTTCGCGGAAAGATGCGTGACGGCAGGCCACCAAAAGGGGCAAATGCGTGCCTTCAGGCATGAGTGGCCAACTCCTAGAAGAAGGCAGCGGGAGGTACTGTCCTGCACGTGGATGAGAGGAACCGCCGAACCACAATGCACGGTGCAATTGCCTGCGAGGTTGCCCTGCAGCTGGATCAGTTCCTTCAGTGGCACCGTTTGCTAAAACCGTGGATGGTAGTCCCCTGGCCTTGCCAAGTTTTCGCTCCACCTCGGTGGCGGCTGCAGACGGTAAGGCCGCGCTCCAGGAGGCCACCTCCGTCCATTCCTGAGCCTCCAAGCACTTGCGACGAAAGGCCGGATCTTGCAGCCCTTTCCCGCGCCCGCCCTCTGACCCTTGTGCCTTCGGCTTGGAGCTGGAGGACTGGAGATGGCCACATAGGAAGCCAATGGGATCCTCTTACACAAGATGCAACTGACAATGACAAGGAGGAAGGGGATGCAAAGGAGTCACAAGGGATCGAAATGCCACGGTCTGCGTACTCATGTCTCAGCTTCAGACCTCTGGCCGTGTCTTCCTTACGCTGAAGAGCTCAAACCCAAAGACGCAACAAAGCAAAAGCGAGAGACAGCTCGATCGATTCATTTTTGTGCATATGTGTGTGTGTGTGTGCGTTGTCTCCTGGTATAGTACAAGCTGCCAAGCCTGTGTCAACTGAGAGCCTGGGAGCGTACAGCGTATGGCCGTGGACTGGTCCGTTTGCTCTGCAGGAGAACTCTTTTAGGCAACACATGATCCTGCACGACTGACACGACTTCAATTGAGACTTCGTGCTCCAGTTTAGAGCACAAGAGCCTTTGCAGCAGAGATTCAGCATTTGGCGAACAGATTCTGCAAGCGTTTGCTCGATGTCATGGGCCGCCAAGTAGTTCAAGGCAGACTCCTGCTCTGCTCTGCTCTGGGACGCGACTGATCCACGCGGCCCTTGCTCTCCTTGCTCTCTTGCTCTTGCTGCCGCTGCCTCTGCTCCTGGCTGCGCGACACGGTCACCGCGGCACGGCACGGCATCCCCAAACTGCTCTAGGCCCTGAACCGACACACCAGCACGGCCTCGGAGGAAGAGCCCGCAGCTTGCGAAGTGATTTTCAGCCTGCCCGCAGCCACGCAGGCGCCCCAAGAGGAAACCGGTCAACTGGGCTGGCACCGTATCGACTGCAACGACGGATCAGAACCTTCTCAGTTCCGCATCATGCCCTGCTGCGCACTTCCACTAGCAAGTGAAAGATAACGCGCAATGTCTGGGCCGTGGGCATGGTATGTTCACCTCATTTGCGTTTATGCTGCTGGGGTCGACCTCCACTGAGCAAGATCCCACCTCAGCTACTCCAGACTTGAGAGCTTAGCCTGCATGGAAACTCCAGTATTCTTTAACAACCCGGGGCTCAAGACATGCCGATAGACGTCGATCCTTGCTCTCCTGCTTCTCAATGGCACATGGACAACCTGATGTTACGTGCACTTACACGGTGCTTCGAATCTCCTTTTGGCATCCTGCTTGGGGAAGACATAGTTGCTCGCAGATCTGTAACGTGCAGCATCGAAAGAGCTGACTTTGAACGCACAGCGCAGGCACTCGCACCTGCCATCTAACCGGCGCTGCTTCAGAGCTTCCCCAAGACGTACCCCAACGAGACAGCCCTTGGGCACCTGCTCACTGCACATGTGCGTTGCTTTTGGTGCGTGGCCTAGCCAAGATATCGTTGATTGCCTCCCATCCTGGCATTGCCTCAACTTGAACTTCCATGGCCTGCTTGCTCGAATGCTCTTTGACATGTAGAGGACCATCTGAACAATTCACGGCGAAGGCAGGCTTTCCCTGGGCTTGCCTTTGCCCCCTGGGCTGAGGCCGCATCTCCAACCGTCTGTTGAGTTTTTTCAGCTGCGAGCAAAAACAGCAACGCAAGGGGACGGCAGCTTCTATCATCAAGCTACAACGTACTTGGTCTATGGATCTTGCACGTGGCGAAACCTTGCCCAGGCCTGTGTGGCAGCTGCACAGAGCATGGCGCAGCACCAACATGTTTGTGCAACGTAGCTCTTGCCCACCAAGATTGGAATGAAGTTCAAAGACCATCCGTGTCTGATTTGCACACCTGATATGGCTTTGCATCCCCGGCTTGAGCGAGTGCCAAACCAGAGACTACCGTCGTGTTTCCGAAGCAGGTGCACGAGAGCAGAGCTGAGCCGGAAAACGCAATCGCTTCGCGACCACGAAGGCAAAAGTAAGTGTGCTTTCAGGAACGGAAGTTTCGACGCGAATGCCCTGAGGGGCCCCGGCTATGGGTGTGTTGAGCCGTGGTTCGGGCGCAGAGTTCGTGCTCTCAGTCAACAGCTACACGTCAAGCCCCGCAGCTGTCACCCTGACCACTTTCAGCTTCACACCGGGGTTCTTATGCCTGCGGGGGTGTCCCCGGTGCGGAGACACCAGAGGTGGTGGCACCTGGCTCTCGCCTGGCGGAAAGCTCAAGGTCCTGGAGCAGGCACAGAAGAGCTGGCACAGAAGTGAGTCGCGGCTCCGCAAGGAGGAAGCTTCCGCCAGGTATCCGAGTACCGAGTAGCAGGCCCAGAATAGCTCAGATTCCAGGCGGGCCCAAGGCAGATGCCATGCCTGCCATGTCACAGATGAATTCGACGGGCAACTCTCAGGATTTAAGAAGGGCAGCGAGGCTGCTGAAGCGAAGGGGCACAGTTCTGGGCCAAGGTATCCTTCGCAACGCAAGCGTGCTCTGGGATGCTGTGGGTAAAGGTGCAAAAGCCGGATGATGCAGCCAAGGCACTTCGAAGGCCTCGAGGTTGCGCCCCACCTCCAACCAGAGAATCACCTGATCCCCGCAGAACCGCACCAGCGGTTGCATCCAGTATGACAAAGGAGTGGGACTCAACTCCAGATCTTCAAGTCCAGTTGGTCAAGGGCCCAGCCTGGAAAATTAAACCCAGCAGCTGCACTGTTAGCCACCTTGAGCATCCGACCGAATTTGCAGAAGAGGCCGTGGGCACTTCGGGCACCGAGGGCACCACGCGAGAACCACCGGAGCCTTCAATCGCCTTGGCCGGAAGTCGTCGCAGCAAAGCGTGAAGACCCGGACCTCAGAAACTCAGAGTAGCTAAGAGGACAAGGGCCTGGAGCCAAGCTGCGGGAGCTTGGAGCGTTGCCGGATCTGTGTCTTCGGAGGTTTCCAGCCACCTGCACACTTCCGGATCAAGCAACGGAAGCGTCTGCTGAGCCCTCGCCACTCGCCTGGCCACACCCTTTAACCATTTCCCCGGATCTTCCACGGCTTTGTTCACCTTAACCACGGAGCGAGCCTATCGACGAAATTATTCAACTGTTTCCATTCCGAGACCAGCTCAGCGCCGTAGAGGCCACCGGATCCTGGCCATATGCCATCCCTTCTGGCACATGCGGCTGGAGCCGTCTTTGTAACCACGGACGATGCTTCGCAGCAGCTGCCTTGCCTTGTTCTTCATCGGCGGACGCCTCTGACTCACATGTATCGGCAGCCGGAACCGACGAGAACGTGACCACGTGTCAGTGCCTTCTTTGCTGCGCACAGCTGCTTCCGCTCTGCACCCATTCCACGAGCTGGCAGCCTGTGCAAGAGGGTGTGTTCATGCGTGGTCACAGCAAGGTCGTTCTCCATCGGCCTGAAGCATGGCGGGCATCTAGTCTCTGGCTGAAAGTGGCACTAACATGTAGACCTGAAACGACCTACCGTGATCTCAGCTGGCGTGGATTGGGTAAATAAAAGTATGTCTGACTCCGTTGCTACACCTTGGTGTGTTTGGGTGCGCGTGTCCGTGCGTGTCTTATGTATACATATACATACACACACACACACATATATATATATACATAAGTATATCATATAATATGATATTAGGTATCATATGCTTCTCCTCGGCTGCTGTTGTCCGGCCTGCTTGGTTGTCATGGTCGGTACTCTTCCACTGAGCAGTGGCGACGCGGTAAAGGCGTAGCAAACAGAAAAGCGGTCCGTCTGGGAGGCCTTTTTTGTTCTTGCTTTCCCTCATCTTGTGGCCACGAAGAGCCACACAGGGCCAGACATGGGGGGCGCGGGCTTCTTTGGTTGGGCTTGTGCCGGCCATGTCATCAATGAGTTGCCAGTCTTGCACGAATGCTGAGCATCCCGGCGATTAGTCAGCTACAGCAAAACGCGATTGTTTTTCACAATCGACTCGACTGCTGCCCTTACTGTCCAGCTCGACCCGCGACGCGGTACTCATGACACCGTTAAAGGAGGCAACGATTACGCAAAGCCGACAATCCCGGGACCAGGCCCAGGTGTGGCCCCTGGCGGGAGAATTTAAGCCCGGCCGGCGACTGAGCCAATTGAACCGGGACGATACTGTAGCAAAGGCGTAAATGAATAACTTCGGAAATTTACAATTTACAAAGCCTAAGCAGAACCGAGGCTCTGCGAGATGTATTTCTAGCCTATTGAAGGCCAATTCTGCAGACACAAGTGCTCGGTAGCACGCCCTTTTTCCTGTACCGGCCCAGGTAGATCACTCACCTCGTGAAGCAACCCATGAACTTCACCACCATGCCAAGCTCTACACAAGGCACCTTGACATTCGAAGTCCGAGCGGCTCAGCCGAGGATTCTTCGAAGGCCGCGGCTTCTCTGCCGGTCGCCAGTCGCGGTCACCTCACCACACAAGGGCTCATGCAGTGCCAGTTGGAGTTCCACGGTGCCGCATCCAAGTCACCCTGGGCATATCTGCCCCGTGCTGGATCATCCCGTCCATCATCCTTGATGGCGATTTGGTGCCACGCAAGATCAACAACTCCCAGAGGCACTTCCGAATGCTGCTGCGTGTCCCATGAAGGTGGCGCAGGTGGCGGCGGCGGGGGTGGTGGGGGCGGCGCAGGAGGTGTCGCGACAGGCCGCCCTGGGACGGGTGGTGGCGGGGGAAAGCTCTCGCCTCCCTCGCGGCGCGGCGCGCGCCGCTGAGACCTCTCCTGCAGGATTTCAGCTCTCAAGCCGCGGTCACTAGATGTCACGAGTACCTAAAGCTTCTGCAGGCAGGGCGCCCGTTCGTGGTTGGGCCAGTCGCTAGAGCGGTCGTTCCAATGCCCGGACCAGTCTTTGGCCCGATCCTTGGACCGGCCGTTGGACCAATCGTCGGACCAGTCACCCTGACAACTTCAGGATTCGCTACGATTGGACAAAACTGCCGGCTCTGTCTACGGCTACGGCCGCCTCGCGCGATTCTTTCTTCCACTGCCCACTGCTCCAAGCGGTGTCTCGCCACTGACCTTCATCTTGCCGAGAGGCCGGCTGCCTGCAAATGCAACGACGCACGAGGGGTGGTAAACCGACAGTCATGCTCACTCGACTGCTTCCATTGCGGCATCCTCTCGTGCCGGCGTGACGCTGGCTTAGACGGAGCGGAGCCGCCTCCTCGACCGGAAAGCCGGGAGGCCGGGAGGCAACGGCAACAACATCATGTCTCACCACGGAATATCACCTGAATCCCCTGGCTCCTTCACCACTGCCTTCCCTCCAATCTGTCCAATCATTCCACCGTCCCCGGCTTCTTTTCCAGGAAGGTGCGTCCGCTTCGACCTCGCGCTGCTTCTCCGGATCCTTCCAGACACCACCTTCAAAAAGAGCGGAAGCGCTGCACACTGCACACTACACGGCTCCGCAAGACCTCGATCTCAGAGGCCCCTGCTGACACTCCCCCGGACTGCAGCTTCCAATGCAGCTGCACCCAGGGAGTTGTACTCCGGCTCTTCACTCTCCGTCTCCTCGCCATCTACAAGATCGCCTCCAGCCGGAAAAAATTGGAGAACACAAGGACATGCGGATGACCTCAAGTCAGCTGCTCGGCTCAACTGCTCAACACATCTGCAGCTCGGCCGCTGTCGTCATCGCTGCCTTCATCCCCCAGCTGCTTCCGCAGCGCTGAGAGATCGGCGCTGTCACAAAGGAAGGAGGTCTCCTGAAAAGCCCGTGAAACGCTTCTTCACGCCTCCCGGTCCCTGAGTCTGCCCCGTTTGTCCTCCATGCCAGTGGCGGCCAGCACAGCATCACCAACAGCAGGCAGGTCCTGAAAGTGCCGGTTAAGGCCAACTTAAAGCAGAATGCGATCCAGCATGTTGGCAAGATGATGCGACCTTCTTGCAGGAGTCAGCCGGCAAGACGAGATAATGCGGCACAGAGATTGGTCCGAAGACGTCCACCTGCTCTATACCGCTCGTGAGGCCGTTGGTCGAGCAGGCGGTTTTCACATCGAGCACATCAGTTTGACTGGCATGCAAAAGCTTCCTGCAGCCATGCAAAAGGCTCAGGCTGCAGGAAGGGTGGGTCCAGTTTTCGAGTATATTCAGCTCGGCCACCACCGCTCCGAGGACCCGTCCGTCTGCCAGGCACACAACGGAGCCCAGGTCCAAAGCCTGTCAGGCATTTCAGTGCTCGATGTTCCGCATCGCTTGGGGAAGTCGGGAGTCCTTGCCATCTTCATCGCCCTGAACGACGACCAGCTCGTCCACGATCGACCTCACCTTGCCGATCGCTTCCTTCGATGCGTTTTCCTCCAGCTTCATTGGGAGATGTGATACCTTGGATCAGCTCTTCTACCCCTCCTGTAACCACCTGCGATGAGATGACTTTTTCGGTGCCGGGAAGCATTGATCACCGGAGCTCCCTCCTCATCTTCTGGCGCAGTGCGGGTGAAGGTCTGTTCCTGCACACAATCCCCAGATCTCCCCAGGCTGCGACGTCCCCTGAACATTGCATTGTCGTGGATGTCTCCACTGTGAGAGCAGTGGCACCGATGCACTGAGTGGCATCCTGTAATATCCTGTAGCTCCGGTGAAGGCACTTAGCTGAATCCCCTGCCTCCACGACGGTGCCCTCGCCAGTCTTTGTGGCCGGCGCCGGATGCGCTGCGCACTGGCAATTGCATGGCCATAGACACATTGAGCGCATACAACAAGCAGCGTGGCAGCGGTGTGACGGGAGAGTGTGGATTGCCTTGTTATTCATGTCGTCGTCGTCTTCCTTGCAGCAAGAAGGGTAGATAAGAGAACGGCTGGAGACCATCAAAACTTGCAAGTACCCTGCGGCCAAGAATCATCCCCTGGATCTTGCGCTTCTTGATCGGCCTCAGCAACCTCGCCAACCTGCCCACAGACTGCCACAGAACTGTGAACTGGCGACTTGCACTTCCCAGTTTCATGCCTGGGGTGCATCCTCAGCCGGAACCGCCGGAGCACTTGGTGCTGCCTACGAGTCTACGAGTGCGGCTTAATGTTCAGTCGATCCTTTCCAACTTGACCTGGGGACTTCTCTTCCGGATGCAGGCAAGCTGCAGCACTCTCCTCGTCTGTGCTCTGGAGATCAACGGCTGCCAGAGCCTCCGAAGACTTCTCTTGGCCAGGGCCCCAGTCCTCGTCGCCTGGACTCAAGAGGAGTTGACCTAACCTCAAAAGCTTCGACTAGGTCTTCGTTTCCGCTGCCGAGAAACCCACAGCGCACTGCGGCGGCTCCGTCTGACGGTCAGACTCCGGAAGCGGCAGCTTGGTGACGGCCTCAACGCAGCACTTGCAAGGACCTTGTGCAATCAGCCACTTTCCTGTTGTTGTTTTGTGACCTGGCCCCACACCTCCGAAGCCGCGCGGCATGCCTCCCGCACCTCGGCCGAGACGACGGCATCGAAGTGACCTCCGCTGCTGCCGAAGCTGCTATGCGATGCTATGCGATGCATTGCGATGGTTTGCCGATCGTCTCGGAGCTCCAAAACTAACGCAAACTGCATCGAGGTCGCTCGGCAGCTCGCCGATCTTGGACGTGAGCCTTATGACTAGGCGCTAGGGCATCAAGACAAGCGACAACCTGACACCAGTTTGAGGTAAGGGCTTGTTGGTCTCTTTCAACAGCCGCAAGAGCTTCCTTGCAACGCTCTTCGGGCAGGTGCACATCATGCAATGGCAGTACTGAGAACAGGCTCCATGATGACCAAGTCTCTGGACGTCTTCAGCTGAAGGCGCTTTGCGACGGGCTTCTTTTGCAGTGCCTGACCACAAGAATCTACCATGTCCGCATCTGGACGAATTGGCACATGTCCAGGAGTCCAACCACGGCAAAGGTGTAGTAAGGGGCATTAAGTGGCTCAATGCCTACTTAAGTTCGCATGAGAGACAAGCCAAGACCGCTGTCAAAGCTGCGGGGTGCATCCCTCGACAAACCCCCCCTGTCAAGGCCCATTCCAACAGAGGGGTGCCCTGACCGTGATGCTCCACGAGCTGTACTTGCCGCGCTCAGACGTCTTTCGAACTCCGGATGCTCACAGTGCCGTCCCTGCCCGAAGGTCCAAACTTGCCATGCCTGCATCATCCAGCAGGACCTGCTCCGCAAAGACTTCCTGCTGGGCAACCCGTTGGGCCACCAGCCTTGGGCGTCCAAGACTGCACCCACAATGCTTCAAAATCTGAAACCTTGAAGTCGGACCTAGCTCATCACATGTTCTTCTGCCGCTGCAGTTGCAGCATGTTCCGACATTGCGCACAAAGGCTACCAGTCTAAGGGAGATCTCTGCATACCAGCGACATGTCATCCACAGCCGTTTCTCCGTCCTCGGCTGCATTGAAAGCTGTACAATACAAACGACTAGATCACTTCTTGCCATGCCTCACGGCAGCAAGCCCAAATTCAATAAGTATATCTGCAGCCGGGACACAATTACGAGGTCTTCGTCCTGAAGCTCATGATCATGAAGCGAGTCCGCCGAATGCAAAGATCATACTAGAATATAGTAAATGCGAATTCTGAGCGCCTGTATGGCCATGATTGACCTAACTACCAATCATCCACCACTAACCTGTACAGAGAGCAGCAGGAACAGTCCTCACGCAGGTGCTTGATGCGAAGCTCCGCATCCTGAGCTGCGCAGGGCATGCGGCCATGGAGCTTGGCGAGTTCGAAGACTTTCTATCGAAGGTCCTGTTGACCTATTCTTCCTTATCAGCTGCGGCTCACTCTCCTCATCTTGCTCGGCTTTACCATTCGACGCAGCCATGGCGCGTGCTTTCGAGCTCGCGGGCATGCCCTGTGCAAAAGCAACAGCAGAGGCCTTGGTTTGGGTCCGTGCTGCTAGTGCCGTGCTGCGTAGCTTTGCTCCGGCTGCTGGATGCCAAGCTCGAGGTCGCTGGCGGGGAGATGCGCTCGCCTTGCAACGTGCGCCAAGCCATGGCGGGCACCTCCGCCGTGTGTCGCTTCACACAAAAAAGTCACAAACCGCACGAGGGTATCTTTGATGCAGTCTTACGGGGCCGCATGGAGCATTAACAGGGTCTCTGAAACTGCCGGCCGCACTGTGTTCACAGATGACAGCTGGCAACTGCTGCAAGCAGCGCTTGCAGTATGGCCATTATCCGGGGGCATCTGCAATCTACGACTGCAGGTTGGCCCTAAGCAAAGCTCTTGATGCACTCGTCCAGCGGTTTCGTTACATATATGTCGGCCACAGTGAACTGAGGATCGCGGGAAAAGATCAACCCGTTCAGAGTTCACGGTCACTCGTGCATCGCAAGCTGGGCGGCGAAAAACTAAAACTCGTCCAACGTTGCTAGAACGGAATCTTGAGCTTTCAGCTTGCGGCGACGTCGGCGTCTTCTTGATGCCTCCTCCCCCTCAGCTTCCTCGGCACGAGCCTCAGCCTCCTCTTGCTCCTCCGCAGGCGTAGGCACGACAGAGTTTTGAAGACATCCGAAGAGACCCTGCTTCGCGTTTCTTCATCCAGTTCCGTTCCACACTCGGCTTCCCATTCAGCTCTTGACTTGCCAACTGGGCTTCTGCTGGGTTTCAGCATTCGCAAACCGATGGGCAAACCGATTGCAAATATTGCTTTGGCAGCGGCCCTCTCATGATACACCCAGCTCAATCTGGCTGGAGAAACATGTTCAGGGACGCGGGGCATCGCAAATACATCTCAAGCTTCCGGCCACGAGCAGGATTTTTTTATATAGATCACCTAATGAGAGCCAAGGCGGGCTCTACAAGACTCTACATACTATCACGGGGCGGAGAAACCGACGGGTACATGTCATTCAGCCCTGCCTGCTCCTGTTCCGCTTCCTGTGCAGCCTCAGCCTCTCTGTGCTCCCCTGCCTGAGAAGCGGATGAAAGGTTGATTCATGGTCACTTTGGGACTCCCGCACAGTGTTGGCCTGCCGCGCTTTGCGACGCTCCTCCTGTTGCTCCTCAGGCTCTGACCTCAGCTACAGCGAACGAGTAGAGCAATCGGAGGCGCTTTGTCCCCCACCCTTTCTCAAACTTCAAATGCAAGAGATCCACTGCGGCTGCTTGAAGTTCTGGGATGAATCCAACTGTTTCCAACCCGCTCCGACGCCCGCACCCAGCAGGTCAGGGCCCCAGCCCGAACAGCACACACTGATGGACACGCTTCTGGGAGACCAAAGCACTTTACTTATCTGATTATGTGGACCGTTATGAGGAAAACGAGCCCATAGGTATGATACCTGATCACGAAGAGACGTCGAGTATACGTAGTTCAGGTGTATGCCGCGCACACACACACACACTGTGCCCCTACTGATGTGGCCAAAGGACGAAGGTTACGCCCCAAACATGTCTGCAAGCCGAGAGACTTATTGCGCCTTCGCCTTCTGGACTTACCCGCTGCTTCCTGCACAACCCAGTCGATTCCAGGGAAGAATGCTCCGCACACATCCGCAGACATAGCAGGCGCTCATCTGGCCGCGTATTTATGAAGACACGAAGACACGCCTCCTCCGCTTCAGCAGGCTCGGCAGCCTCTGCCTCTTGCTCCAGGGCTCGGCTGTCCATCTCCTTCAAGCACCACGCAATGATGGACGAGTCAAGCTGCAGGTGTCGTCGCAAGTGAAGCCTCGACCTCCTGGTCTTTTGGAGAATTCCGTCGCGCTTTGCCCTCCTCTTCCTCATCCTCTGCCCTCAGCTCACGTTCATACGGTCATCCCGAGTTGTATCCCTGCTTTCTCTGAACTGGTCAGCAAGAATATGAAAAAGAAAGGCGCGAACACTACGTATAGCTCCTGCTAGCGGCCCTAAGTACAGCTTTTCCGCAAAAAGTTTACGCCAAACATATCCGCAAACTAGGTCTGCAAGGCTTTACCTTTTGTTTCTTTTGCCGAAAGGCTTGCATTGTGAACCGTCTTCGTGACTATTGTAAGCCATCTGTATTATCTGTATGCCAAGAGACTTTTTGCGCCTTCGCCTTCTGGACTTACCCGCTGCCTGCACAACCCAGTCGACTCCAGGGAAGGATGTCCGCAGACGCAACATGTTCTCATCCGACCCCATGTTACGAAGACACGAAGACACACCTCCTCCGCTTCAGCAGGCTCGGCAGCCTCTGCCTCTTGCTCCAGGGCTCGGCTGTCCATCTCCTTCAAGCACCACGCATTGATGGACGAGTCAAGCTGCAGGTGTCGTCGCAAGTGAAGCCTCGACCTCCTGGTCTTTTGGAGAATTCCGTCGCGCTTTGCCCTCCTCTTCCTCATCCTCTGCCCTCAGCTCACGTTCATACGGTCATCCCGAGTTGTATCCCTGCTTTCTCTGAACTGGTCAGCAAGAATATGAAAAAAAAAAAAGGCGCGAACACTACATATAGCTCCTGCTAGCGGCCCTAAGT